AGTTAGAATGCTTATATGATGTGTATTTTGTATCCATAATTTGAATCCCAATCAAATTAAATCTATCCAAAATTAAAAAATTCTAATTATAATAAAATATTTTAATCTTAATTAAATCATAAAGTTAGAATGCTTATATGATGTGTATTTTGTATCCATAATTTGAATCCCAATCAAATTAAATCTATCCAAAATTAAAAAATTCTAATTATAATAAAATATTTTAATCTTAATTAAATCATAATTTTCTATAATTGAAAAAATCAAATAAGTATACTTTTAATTCTCTTTAATTATGCAAAATCTAAAAAATCTAAAAATTATTTTTATTCACTTTTCTTTTATATATGAAGAAGAGATTAATTATTTCAAAAAAAGAAAAAAAAGAAAAAAAAAAGAAAAGATTAACGGTTCACTATTAGCCTTATATTTGAAAAAAATTAACACATGGATCTCCATAACTTTTTAAAAGATAAATTACACTAAACGTTCAATAAAGTTAACCATTTCGCACTAAGCTTGCAAAATTTTTGTAACCCATAATAAGTTGTTTAGTTTTAAAAAACCACCAAAATATTTTGAATTTTTCACTTAACCCCATAAGGCATCTATAATTTTACACAGAAAAACACTGCGAACATTTCCTTGAAAAATCTAAAATTCATAAATGTGAGATATATGAAGGGCATATATGAAACAATCCATAATTTTCTCAGCTCAAATCGAAATTCTAGCAACCGGAATAGTTGTGAACGGTTGATTGTGTAATTTATAGATAATATTATGGTTGGTACCACTTTTTACACATTATTAGTTAGTAGGTGTCATTTTATAAAGTAACGTGGAATTCTAGCCAACAAAATTTTATTCTTTTGAAATTACAAAGTTGTCTCAGAGAAACTAAGTATTAATCAAAAAAACAAGGGGAATTTTTTAAAAAAGACCCTTTTTGCTAAATAATTAAAAAATTGATCATTTTGCTAATTATTTAGCGAAATCAACCTCTTTTTTGCCAACATGCCAAAAAGAGGTTGATTTTTTTAAAAAACACGCTGCTGAAACCATACGGGACTAGTAGTCCCGTATGTTTTCAGTGCACTAATCGGGATTTAGCAATTATCAAAACATATGGGACTACTAGTCCCGCATGCTTTTAGTTTGTATTCACAAAGCATACGGGACTGGTAGTCCCGTACATTAAGCAGAGAGCTTGTTGGCTCTGCCCAGCAAACCCACGGGACTAATAGTCCTGTGGATTTGCTGGGCAGAGACAAAACATGCACAAAACATGCACATGCCTCTAGCTTCGTATACGACCAAAATTTTCACAAAAAATAAATTATTTACATTGTATACATTGATAAAAGTTATAAAATTACTACATCACAACACAAATCTCAAAAATACACAACATCACAACACAAATCCGAAAGAAATACACAACCCAAATCTGATAAAAGATACACAACATCATAAAATACTCTAAGTAAATCCAAATTCTATGAACTAAACACCGGATAATAACAAATTTAATAAATTCAGAATATCACAACATAATTTACATGTCATATGCATACCAATACGATAAAATTATCAACAATTCCAAATGTATCAAGTCTACCCATACGATAATATGTAGTCTAAGCTAAACAATCCAAATGCATTAATAAATCCATACGATAATATATAATCTTAGTGGAAAAATTAACAACCTAAAAGTCCGCCTCCCCCGTTGTCTCTCTCTTCGCACCTGCTGAGATCGTTGGGGGCCTCCTTTGACTTGAGCTTGTGTATGGCCGCTCTCCGGTTGTGTGTGGGGTTGTGACGAACCAACTTGTTGTGACTGACCAGCTTCATCCTCTTGCATGCAAGATCTACCACGTCTACGTCGGCGTGCATATACAGTATCTTCAAGATCCACCTACTCACGACCTTCATGTCGATCCTCATGAGTTTGTTGAAGAGCCCTACGAACTCTCACCACTATCTAATGCAATATCAATACGTGAACTAAATCTCCTGTGGTGGTAGCTATGCCCTCATTTGCAATCCCCTCTACCTCGTCCATAGCGTATATCTACAATTACATAAAAATATTAATATAAGAAACCAAAAGCTAACAATAGATTGAAAATTCTATTATAATTGTCATAATTTACTTACCCATCGTCTCTCATCTACCCCTATTAGTATATATCGGGATTGTTGGGAGCGAGTCTCGATTCATCGACTAGAGGCGCGGTTTGAGTAAGATTAAGTTCCCGCCTAACTTCGGGCATAATTAATTTCATGATATAAGAGGAACTTGTTGTCTTATGATCGTTATTGACATCAGGTTGCAACATGCATGAAGTCCATAATAACTAGAGATCATAAATTGCTCATTAGATTTTTTTTCCTAACAGTTGCATTAAGCTTCTACGGACACTTTGAATTTCTATCGTCTGCAGCACTTGTATTCTCTCCTTGACCTTTCTCATTAAAGTAGCAATTTACACGATAGCTAGTTGTACTGCTTTTCACCGGCTTGAATTTGACCCGGTTACTGATTGCCCATTCACGTATAGCGAAAACTAAGATTTCATTATTCTTGAAAAGATCTCCTTTTTTGAAAGTGAAGTCCTCGGGTCGATCAAAATTGGGAGCAGACTCAACGAACTTAGCTTGTGAGGTATTTATCCACTCATCATTTTAAAAAACTTTTGACAACGGTTCTTCAGACTCTATATAATTGTTATTTACGCAATATTCATCCATCCAACTTACATCATCATTGGTCTCTCCAATTAAACATTGCATACTATCAAGACGTTCCTCCTCTTCAACATCTTCATTATCATCATCGGTATCTACATCTTCATCCTCTTTTATAATAGAACCAACCGGTAAATCAACTGAAACATTATGACCCGATGCGTTATGGAACACGCCACTTGACATTGCACTTGAATCATTTTTTAAGTGCAATGCAACTTTGAGATAACAAGATTTGATTTTTAAGCATGCAGGAGAACTCTCCGTGAGCATATGAAACTTCGGGAACCCCAGACATTGGAATATTTTCAATGAATAACTCGATTGAGATTTATTTTTTCGCGAGTTGGATCATGTCATTTAATTCTTCATCATTGGTGGTCTCTACAACAATTATTCTTTTTTTTATTTATTGGACAATTATAGAAGACCTTAATAGAATTTTCAACACGATTAATTCTAGTAACACTGTATATTTTCTCCATCATTCTAACGAAATTATAATTTCTAGATAACATGAACATTTTTCTAGACCCTCCGTCGTATATAGGCATATTATTCATTCCAACACTCAGTTTTCCATTGAATAAGCAAATAATCGGTATTTCATTCGCCATTTTAATTAAAGAATTAAAATTGATCATATACAAATTAGATTTTTTTTTTTCAATTTTAATAATCATATACAATATGAACTAAACAATATAGAGAAATTTATAAAAAAAATAAGAAATTTATGCCTTGATGAAATTTCAGATCTCGCCGGCGATGGAGAGTAATAGACGACGTCGAATTTCAACACTGCCAAATGATCTTTGGGGAATATCACAATTACGTTTTTTTTGAGGAAATGTGTTTAGAGAAATTTGAGGGAGGAATAGGTGAGTTGGTTGTGGGAGAGAGAGAGAGAGAGAGAGAGAGAGAGAGAGAGAGAGAGAGATCGGGTTTGGAGAGAGGGAGATCGGGTTTGGAAGAGAGGGAGATCGGGAGAGAGATCGCCCAAGTTAAGAATTGTGCCCTAATTTGGGGCACAACTGTGCATTATATAGGCTACCAAATCTACGGGACTAGTAGTCCTATAGAGTTGAGGCAATTATTAGTTCTGCCCAGCAAATCCATGGGACTAGTAGTCCCGTGGGTTTGCTGGGCAGAACCAACAAACTCTCTGCTTAACGTACGGGACTAGTAGTCTCGTACGTATTGTGAATGCAAACTGAAAGCATACGAGACTGGTAATCCCGTATGTTTTCGATAGTTGCTAAACCCCGTTTAGTGCACTGAAATAATCACGAGACTAGTAGTCCTGTGGGTTTGACTAGTCCCGTGGGTTTGCTGGGCAGAGCTAACAAACTCTCTACTTAACGTACGAGACTAGTAGTCCCGTGGGTTTGCTGAGCAGAGCTAACAAACTCTCTGCTTAACGTACGGGACTAGTAGTCCCGTGGGTTTGCTGGGCAGAGCTAACAAACTCTCTGCTTAACGTACGTGAGTACTAGTCCCGTACGTTTTGTGAATGCAAACTGAAAGCATACGGGACTACTAGTCCCGTATGTTTTCAGCAGCGTGTTTTTTAAAATCGACATCAAGTCAAAAAGGTCGATTTTACTAAATAATTAGCAAAATGATCGATTTCACTGATTATTTAGCAAAAAATGACTTTTTTTTAAAAAAATTCCCCAAAAAACAAACTAATCATTGGAGGAAATTTTCCTCTTTCCTCCGCCTTCTATTCGTAAAGTACATGGCACAGAGATAGATATAGATCCAACAGATATGACTCCACGTGTGAGTCCCTCCGAGCTTCTCGTATGAATTTTAAATTAAAATATGTTCCTCACTTTCACGCCCCACTCCCCAAAGCCAAAAAAACTCAGGGGGAACAAAACGAAAAT